CCTCGGTCACCGAGTCTTTTAAGGCTCGCTTTCTATCAATGCTATGTAGGGAGTGCATAAAGAGGGTTTGGGGGCTCCTGTAAAATACTTGGCCGTATACAACTACACTGAGCATTGTCAGCTGAAGGCTTGTGACGACAGGTTTTGAGGACGGTAAGGCAAGAAAATTATGAATAAGAACTTAAGCGGAGGATGCGGTCAGAGGGATCGGAGGTAATATATGCAGTATGGAAGAGTGTCTTAAAACAGAACTGCGCTCTCATGCCGAATTTGACGCGGGGTTAGCGAGCAATAAATCCTCGACACGACACAAAGCAACTTGAGTCCAGTAATCCACTAGTCGGGAAAATTTTTGATCGTAGAATTCATCGATGTAATGGAACTTGTGCAAGCTGAGGGTTAATTAAGACGTTAAGTAATGAAAAGGTAGTTTAGGATTCTGCACAACTTCAGGTTGAACCTAAGAATCAAAAACTAGATCGAAGTCTGCTTACCGTTTAGGAGCACAAATACTTAGTTACGTTTCAGAAAGATAAGAATTTTTCTTCAGTAGTGGGTAGAAATGGGCCTAAGGTTGAAACAAGAGAGCAAGTAAATTAACGGTGTTTTCTCGTTGACGCATAAGGTAGAAAGTCGGCGTTAAAAAACAAAAACAGTCAAGACAAAATGTGAAGTTTTAGTGCACATTATATGCCCAATCAAAAGTAGGGGTCTTACAAAAACCGATAGAAAGCTGTAATTTCACGGTAAAAACTGAAATAATGATACGGCATGTCCAATTTAACTGTTATATTTATGGTATGATTGTATGCAAATGACAAATCGTAAATTAGAAGGCCCGGGAACATGAAAAGTTTACAGTTACTTCAGAAGAGCAGTATGTCTCACTTACCTACTTACTTAAATGTGAATTGGTGTTAAGGCGGTAATGGGGGTTGCGCAAACTGGGATTGAGTCTGGCCGACTGATGACTAACAAGCCAGAAATATCTATCGCAGCCCCCTTGTCCATGCTGATAATATTCTTCTGCCTATAGTGCTAGTTGCTGCGCGGCTGCTGGTGAAGTTCGAGGGTGAGTCCTAAGAGAAAACAGGACAAGTCTGCCCTGTAAGTTTAAGTTTATCGCAATGGGTGTTCGCTGTATTCAGTTCCTCGACTGAGATTGACTGTCTTCGTCTCATCTGTACTTTTGAATCCCGTAGAGGGCATCTAATAGAAATACCCGTTGATGTCTGTGTCATTAACTAAAAAACTCTAAAATAACGTTAATTCTAGTTTGCCAGGAAAAAAAGGCTCGTGAATAATTTTAATTTATGTATTCGTGCACGGAATTGTTTTTCGCTGAATTTCTCTTAAATTTTGATATTAACGACCGGAAATCTGCTAACAGTTTACCAAATCCAGATAAATCCGCCGTTCCGATGAACTAATATATAGGAAAAATACCCTTTTAAATTATTTTCACAAACTGTATATCTTTCTGACTTTGTTCTTCGACGTACGAGGCGATGGTCTAGGAAACAAGACGATTCTGGAACTGCATCGAAAACCAATCGGTTACAAAATCTTCCTTGTGAAGAATTTGTGATTCTGTTGAAAGACGGTTAAAAAGGCGGAGGTAGCGCTAAAACCTCCAACTACTTTGCGCGCTTAGCTTATATATTCTAAGGATAAGTTTGACTATTTCGATAGAAACG